AATTATTATATTACGGTTTTGACAGTTTATCATTCATTAAACTCTCAATCAATTTCTAAATCTTTATGAATATTTTAATAATAAAAATATGTTAAACCCAATTATATAATATTAGACTTACAATATACAATGTATCATAAAAATCAATATTAGTTTAGTGTCTTAAAAATAACAAAATAATTAGTTACCTAACAAGTGTTAACAACATTTCTAGAAAAATTATAACAATTAATAGAATAATCTAAACCAATGAAAGAATAATGATTTTGTATAGGAATTGAAACATTACAGTTAACAAGTTCATTTCTCTATTGAAATGCATTAAAGTTTGTGAAAATACTTGTATTTATTCATTATAATTGCTTTAAAGGAATTTTAACACAAATTATATCTTGTTTACTTTTTAGCAAGATTACTCAAAAATAGTGTTAATTTATAGATTCAAAATGATCATGATCACATTAGATACTGTATATTGAAATGAAAAACTCTTACAAAAGTTGCCAAAAGTATAGCGATTGGTGCACCATATAAACCACGCCTCGAATACATGTGTTTTGTGTTGAAAACAAACAACACTTTTGTTCGACCGAAGTGTACGATAGACTGACTCTAACTCTAACTGTAATCGCAATTCAATTAGTTTTCATTCATTTGCTAACATTGAGTGAAGACATGCTTTCAGTGTTGAGTCGATTGAGAGTCCCGTCTTTGGCGGGTGTCGTACACCGATCGCATCCATTCACACCTAATGTGAGTCCAAACATGTTTCATATGATTGTCAATCAAGTGTTTCATGGAAACGATGCCATAGTTTTGTCTCAAGAAAGCAGTGGATGTGACCAGAAGTGTGAGCCAATCAACTGTAGGACACATACAAGAAGTGTCGCCAAAACACACGAAAGCCGTCGGCGTATGGCTCATGACATGCGGAGGCCTGACATTCGTGACGGTAGTGGTGGGAGGGGTGACCCGGCTCACCAACTCTGGCCTCTCTATCGTCGATTGGCATCCATTCAAAGAGTTTCCTCCGCTGTCTGTGAGTCAGTGGACACAAGAGTTTAATAAATACAAAATGTTTCCCGAATTCAAAATGTATGAAATGCTGTCATATGTTGTGGCAAATGATGTCAAATGAATGAATGATTTGGTTATAAGTTTAGTCGCAATAAAGACATGACAATCGATGAGTTCAAGTGGATCTGGTATATGGAGTACATCCACCGAAGTCTTGGTCGAG